ACTCTCTGTGGGCCTGCAGATGTGCACCCCACACCAGGGGAAACATCTGGGCAAGACATGCAGGGTGTGCGCTGGGGGGACCATGAGAGTAAAGGTCTGAGTATGGTTAGGACCATGTGGGTCTTTTCCTTTTTTTCTTACAAAAGGTCCTAAGCCCCTAACATCCTATATAAAGGGCTTCTACATGACTAGGAGTGGGGACTCTCTCTTAAATCAGTCTTTGGGGTAGTGTGGGGGATTCTCAGGATGGAGTGGGTGACTTGGCTCTCATTCTGGCTTCAGGAATAGCACTTCCCCTCCCAAGACTCCCTGGGGGAGGCAGGGTACCAAGGAGGGGGCCTGTACACCTGAGTCCCAGCCCTAGGTTCAGACCCCTAGACTTCTGAGGCCCAAAGTGGAGATACAGCCCTCCAGATGAGAGCCCACATGGGGCATACCACTGAGCCACCACTGGCCCCAGAGGAGCCGGGACAGCAAGGGACAAGGGATCGGCCATGAGGAAGCCCCCAAGCCCAGGCCACAGCGGCGCCTTCCTGGGCGCCTCCCTGGCACTGCTGCCTCCACCCCTCACTCTAACTCTGCAAGGAAGGCAAGGCAGCCAGGGCCTGGAGGGATGATGGAAGGGTCCCTGTGGGTGGCCAGAGGAGGTCTCTCTGAGGAGGTGACATTTGAATTAAGCTTTGCATGAAGAACGAGAAGGTGGCAGCTATGTGGAGAGCTGGGGAAGAGAATTCCAAACTGAGGGAACAAGTGCAAAAGTCCTGGGGTGGGGAAGAACTTGACAGTTGTAAAACATATCAGGGCACTGAGGTGGCTGCTATTTAGGAAGAGAGGAAGAGTATGGTGCTGACAAGGAGGGCCAGTCACCCAGGCAACCCAGTGTGTGGTGAGTGGTTTGGACTTTTCTACAGGAGCAATGGGAAGGCACTGCAGGGCTGAATCAGGCGAGAGATGGGTCTGATTTATGTCTGGCTGCTATGTGAAGCCTCGATTGGGAGTTAGGGTAGGGGTTCAGGTAGGGACCAAGGTCAGGGCAGAGGAACCCTAGAGGAGGCTGCTACTGCCATCTTGGTGAGGGACGGCGATGGCTTGGGTTTTGGGGTGGGAGAGTGAGAGATTTGGGACGTTTGGAGAGGAGCACATGCCTACCAGTCCCCTGCTGAACAACTCTGCACCTTTAGTGGACGCTTCTCCACAGCCCAGGCAGGGCCAGCTCTGCCCCACAACCCCAGTTAGGCCTTTTGTGACAGCATTCCTCCGGCCAGGGCCTGGTTCAGGTCTGTTCAAAGGTGTCCTGTGCTACGCGAGGCACTTCCAGAAGCAGAGGCTGGTTCTGGTCTGTCTGGTGCCCAGCTCCCTCCTAACAGGCTTCACTCCAACCAGAGCTGTGACCAATCACCACTAAACCCTCCGCTGCTCCCTTGCTGAGGGGCGTGGAGGGCTGGGTGGGTGCCTCTCTGCAGAACTCCCTTGGACAGGCTGGCCGTGTACCAGCAGCACTTCCTGCCTTTGCTCCAGTCTTGCTTGCACCCTCATGTCCTGCTCCCCAGGGCTCCCTCACGCGGCCTTTCCTTAGACCTCAGTCCTTGGACTCGGGGAGTGTGAGCCCAACGGCATGAGTTCACTACCTCAACTAGGCCCCCGCCACACTGAAGCTGATGGCTGAGCCCCTGGCTTGGGGCTTGCCTGGACAACCAAGTCAGGCACAGGGAAAGAGCCTCAAGTCCCTGCAAGAGCCAAAAGATTCAGCTTATTTTTCTTTTTTTAATTGAGATGTAATTCACATACCATAAAATTCATCATCTTAAAGTATACAATTCAGCAGCTCTTAGTATATTCACAAGATCACATAACGGTCACCACTATTTAATTTCAGAACATATTCATCAACCCAAAAAGAAACCCTATGCCCATGAGTGGTCACTCCCCATTCCCCTCTTCTCTCAGTCTCTGGCAAGGGACTCACTCATTTACTTACTATCTCTATAGATTTACCTATTCTGGACATTTCACCTAAATGGCAGAAGGCTCAGCAGCCTTCCAGGCCCCAGGCTCCAAGTGAAGCCCAGAGAAGGGGCCACAAGTGCAATGTGGCCTCATACCCTTTTTCAGATGAGGATTTGTACCAGACTGTTAGTCCTAAACACCTAAGAGTTTGAGTTTTCTGTGGAATGATGCCTTACTCTTCCCAGAATCCTCTCAAAGTCTGGCCTAGGATCGGGTCACTGTCCCCTCCCATTCCCCTTCCAATCTCAGAGCAGAGCAAACAGAAACTCGCAACGGCTACTGATCTAGGCCAGTAACTGCAAGCCCACATACAATGGCTGACAGACATCAGCTGTGCAAGAAACTTTGACCTAATCCCCCCTTCCCAAAACAGTGTGTTTAAGAAGCCAAGTATCAAAAAGAAGTAAGCTTTCTGGAAAAGATCTTCCTCTGCCCCCTGGCACTTGGCTGTGAGGTAGTCATTCAGCCCATAGCTCTGGCAAGGGTCAAGTCTGGCTGCTTTGAGGTATCCAACATGGCGGCCACATGGGCCTTCCACCCTCACACGAGCAGAGGAGGTCCCTGGCATGGCTTTCCCCACTGTCTGGGGACGTTAAGCAACTGGCCTTGAGCTCCTCAGCACAACTGTTAACCACTTGGAATCTCTCCGAGAGGGCGAAGGGCTAGGGGGGCCTACTTCTAAGGCCCACGGGCAGGGGCTGAGCAATATGTCATCTGTCCTCTAAAGACGGGCTCAGGAAAGCACAGTTTTGGAAAAAGCCTCCAACGGGAGTGTTTCCTCAGGGCCCCGCAAGGGACTTCTCACCCACTATGAGTATATTTTCTGATTCCAGATATATGAACTGGAATCACATGATAAATGCACTCCCAAAACATGGGGCCAATCAATTTTGCTTTTTAAAAATCAACCATATTTTAAAGACCCACACAACTCTTCAGGAAACACAGCATCTACTCTTACTTGCTGTTCATTTGTCACTGTCAGGTTTGCTTAAATGAGGCTTCTCTATATTTGTGTGCATGTCCTCACCCAGTGTCACCCCAGTTTAGGCCCTTGCCTCTGTCCTTCTCTATGGCCCTGCTGAGTGGCAGTTGCCAGGGCACAGAAAGGCAGCTCCAGAGCCCGTCCTTGTCCTCCTGTGTTCCCAGAACCCAGGCAGTGGGAGGCCGCAGCTGGGTGGGGGGGACAAGGGAATTTACCCTTACAGGAGAGGGGTGACACACAGAAGTGTATCTGCTGTAGCTTGAGAAGTATCCTAAAGTTGAAAAAAATAAATGATGCAGGCCAGGGGAGTGGTACTGTGCCTGCCCCCACCCCCCAGTTCTGACGGCTAGAGTCGCCCAGCTGCCTACCCTCTGACCAGTGTGAGCTAAAGGACACCAAATGGTCCCATCAGCACACCCTTACAGAGCATGAGGCCCTCCCACTCTGGGCACTTTCCTACCACTTGGCCATGCTGTGAAAGGAACTCAGAAACACAGTCTTTTTCCTGTATTGCTGTGGAATCACAAGGTGCCAAAGGGGAGCCTGCTTTGGTAGGACCACATAGGCCTAACGTCTGGCATAGTTCTCACAGTGACCCCAGCCCTGTCCAACCTACTCACCTGCAGGTGGTTTGGCAATGGTGGGTTATATCAACTTGGTCCAAAATTCACCCTTTCAGGGAGCACAGAAAGTATCTAAGAGTCTGCTCCTACAGGGCAGAGTTGTCTGAGAAGAGCTGCCGCATCAGGCGGCAAGGTCAGAGGGCAAGCTCCTTGCCCCACAGGCTTAGAATGAGACAAACACCTCATAGAAGGAGCCACTCCAGAGCACAAAGTCATACAAACCACTAAATCAACATGCTTCTTTTACAGATGAGGAAATGGGGGTCCAAAGGCAAGCAGCTCATTTCTAGAGTCAGCCGTCTACCAGGTTTTCCATCCTGGGTTTCTGGAGAAAAGCCTCAATTGGTATTCTCACTTCCCACCAGCTTCGGTGTCAGTGTTCAGAACCAACCCTCCTCATTCCCAATCTGAAACAGCCTGTCAGTCACTCTTCTTCCTCCGGGTGACCCCCGCCACTAGCCAGTTGAGCCTCCCACCTGCACATTTGTACCTGACACCTGCTCACCAGAGTCCCCCTGACCTTTTGTGTACAACAGGGACTCTAATCTCACCCCTGACTTGGGCCAACTCAGGACTGTCTGAACACTAATCAGAATTTTTTTTTTAAGTGCAGGCTTCCTGCTCCAAAGCACTCAGAACAGGCTCTTCTTACTCTAGGTCGTCTGCACCACTAGGCAGAAAAGCATGGTTCATACTGATCATGGCATCTTTTCAAAGCACTGAGAACTTAAACTTAGTTAATTTGCAAATTCATTTATCAGGCCCCTTACAGACACTACTGATTTAAATATCTCAGCTAACCCTTCCTGGTGTGTTTCAGACCAAGTCAGCTTCATAAAAACCCACTTTCCACACGTCCTGTTCAGGGTCTTTCTCTGGCATGGGTGCATGCGTTGTCAATAAGGCCAGAGTGGGCAGAGCATGTTTCTCCTGCACAACCAGATCTGATGGGGACCTGCTTTTCTGCCCATTCCTCCAACTACCAAGGCCCAGGACTTAGTGGGAGAAGGCTAACTGCAAAGCTCACAGCTCAGACCACATTCTGCACACCACTCGCAGGAGAGGTGGTCTGGGCACAGAAGTTCTCAGAGAAGACTCCACCCCAGCATTACCTAGCACCAGGACAGGGCCTGCACCTGCCTGTGGGCAAGCTGAGAAACCAAAACCCAACAGCTAGAGGGAAGCTGGGTGCCCAGGGCAGTTCTCCTTCCTTCAGCAAGGTTCTCCTGGTTTAGAGTCCGCAGACTATGTATGGGAAAAGAGAGGAGAACAGAGTCCTCATGCATCTACTTTGTTCTAGGCAAAAGTCACTTCTTGCCCATGCCTCACATAAATGGTCAAGGAGGTAGCAGGGACAGGGTGGCTGCGCAGCTGGGGCCACTTACCAGCGGGGGCTGCGGCTGCGGGTGCTGCCCTGCTCCAGAGGCGGGTGGGTAGTGCATGAGCAGATTGAAGGCGGAGTAGACGGTGTCTTTGTACATGCCGCTGGCGCACTCTGGGGCCTTCAGGCCTGGAAAAACCACAGCTGGGTCAGGCGCGCCAGCCCAGGCAGCTCGGGCTAGGGCTGTCTGCTCTCCAAAGAAAAAATAAGAATTGCCAAGGGGTCCCCTTCAAGCTCGTGGCTTGAGAAGCCACCGACCAGGGGTTTGATGAAGGACCCCAAGTCCAGGCCTCCCTTAGGCGGCCCCTAAGTGACCCCCACCCCGCCAACCAGCCAAGCAACCTTGGACAACGCTTTCTCCTCAAAGTCAGGGGATTAGTCAGTCACCTGGGCAGGAGGGGAGGCGGGGATGGCGGGGGTCTGTTTACTCCTATAAAGGTCAGGGCACCGGAAGTGACTCGGGCCCTGCAGCGCCCGGGAAGCCCGCCCCCCACTCCACCCCCACCCCCGGCTTTACCGCCTCCTCGAGCTGCAGCTAGCGGGGGCACCCCCTCTGCCCGCTTCTGTCTTCGGTGGCCCCTCTCTCCCACGGAGGGGAGGCGGGCGGCGGGGAGCCTTGTGGAAACTCACCATCCTCCAGAGGCTCTGCAAGTTTGTCGGGGAACAGTCTCTGCGAAGTGTGTTCCCGCCCGAGAGCCTGCGGGGAGACCCAGAGGGGGCCATGAGGGGCGCCGGGAAGGCTGGGCGTCGGGCTCGGCACCCGGGGCACGGCGGCGCTGAGGGACCGCGGGAGGGCGGGGCGGGTCAGTGCGGGCCGAGCGGGGGGGACGCCGGGGGCGACGGGGCGGGGGCCGGAGCTCACCTCGGGCCCGACCTCGGCCTCGCCGCGGGTCCCGGAGCCGGGCCCCGGGCCCCCCGCGCCCTCGGACTCATTGACTAGCGACGACTTGAGCTCGGCCAGGTCGCGCTCGGGGCCCGCAGCGCTGTCGCGGCTCTTGTCGTCCTGCTCCTCGCCCTCGTCCTGGAAGGCCAGCAGCTCGTCGGGGGCGCCCAGGTCGTCGCCGCCGCCCGCACCGCCCCCGCCGGAGTCCAGCTGCGGCATGGTGCGCTCCGCCCGCCGGAGCGCGGGGCGCGGGAGTGCGGGGCGCGGAGCCGGCCCGGAAGGCGGCGAGTCCGGAGTTCGGACCTCCGAGCCTGGATCGCGGCGGGCGGAGACCCAGTTCTGACGGCTAGAGTCGCCCAGCTGCCTACCCTCTGACCAGTGTGAGCTAAAGGACACCAAATGGTCCCATCAGCACACCCTTACAGAGCATGAGGCCCTCCCACTCTGGGCACTTTCCTACCACTTGGCCACGCTGTGAAAGGAACTCAGAAACACAGTCTTTTTCCTGTATTGCTGTGGAATCACAAGGTGCCAAAGGGGAGCCTGCTTTGGTAGGACCACATAGGCCTAACGTCTGGTCATAGTTCTCACAGTGACCCCAGCCCTGTCCAACCTACTCACCTGCAGGTGGTTTGGCAATGGTGGGTTATATCAACTTGGTCCAAAATTCACCCTTTCAGGGAGCACAGAAAGTATCTAAGAGTCTGCTCCTACAGGGCAGAGTTGTCTGAGAAGAGCTGCCGCATCAGGCGGCAAGGTCAGAGGGCAAGCTCCCTGCCCCACAGGCTTAGAATGAGACAAACACCTCATAGAAGGAGCCACTCCAGAGCACAAAGTCATACAAACCACTAAATCAACATGCTTCTTTTACAGATGAGGAAATGGGGGTCCAAAGGCAAGCAGCTCATTTCTAGAGTCAGCCGTCTACCAGGTTTTCCATCCTGGGTTTCTGGAGAAAAGCCTCAATTGGTATTCTCACTTCCCACCAGCTTCGGTGTCAGTGTTCAGAACCAACCCTCCTCATTCCCAATCTGAAACAGCCTGTCAGTCACTCTTCTTCCTCCGGGTGACCCCCGCCACTAGCCAGTTGAGCCTCCCACCTGCACATTTGTACCTGACACCTGCTCACCAGAGTCCCCCTGACCTTTTGTGTACAACAGGGACTCTAATCTCACCCCTGACTTGGGCCAACTCAGGACTGTCTGAACACTAATCAGAATTTTTTTTTTAAGTGCAGGCTTCCTGCTCCAAAGCACTCAGAACAGGCTCTTCTTACTCTAGGTCGTCTGCACCACTAGGCAGAAAAGCATGGTTCATACTGATCATGGCATCTTTTCAAAGCACTGAGAACTTAAACTTAGTTAATTTGCAAATTCATTTATCAGGCCCCTTACAGACACTACTGATTTAAATATCTCAGCTAACCCTTCCTGGTGTGTTTCAGACCAAGTCAGCTTCATAAAAACCCACTTTCCACACGTCCTGTTCAGGGTCTTTCTCTGGCATGGGTGCATGCGTTGTCAATAAGGCCAGAGTGGGCAGAGCATGTTTCTCCTGCACAACCAGATCTGATGGGGACCTGCTTTTCTGCCCATTCCTCCAACTACCAAGGCCCAGGACTTAGTGGGAGAAGGCTAACTGCAAAGCTCACAGCTCAGACCACATTCTGCACACCACTCGCAGGAGAGGTGGTCTGGGCACAGAAGTTCTCAGAGAAGACTCCACCCCAGCATTACCTAGCACCAGGACAGGGCCTGCACCTGCCTGTGGGCAAGCTGAGAAACCAAAACCCAACAGCTAGAGGGAAGCTGGGTGCCCAGGGCAGTTCTCCTTCCTTCAGCAAGGTTCTCCTGGTTTAGAGTCCGCAGACTATGTATGGGAAAAGAGAGGAGAACAGAGTCCTCATGCATCTACTTTGTTCTAGGCAAAAGTCACTTCTTGCCCATGCCTCACATAAATGGTCAAGGAGGTAGCAGGGACAGGGTGGCTGCGCAGCTGGGGCCACTTACCAGCGGGGGCTGCGGCTGCGGGTGCTGCCCTGCTCCAGAGGCGGGTGGGTAGTGCATGAGCAGATTGAAGGCGGAGTAGACGGTGTCTTTGTACATGCCGCTGGCGCACTCTGGGGCCTTCAGGCCTGGAAAAACCACAGCTGGGTCAGGCGCGCCAGCCCAGGCAGCTCGGGCTAGGGCTGTCTGCTCTCCAAAGAAAAAATAAGAATTGCCAAGGGGTCCCCTTCAAGCTCGTGGCTTGAGAAGCCACCGACCAGGGGTTTGATGAAGGACCCCAAGTCCAGGCCTCCCTTAGGCGGCCCCTAAGTGACCCCCACCCCGCCAACCAGCCAAGCAACCTTGGACAACGCTTTCTCCTCAAAGTCAGGGGATTAGTCAGTCACCTGGGCAGGAGGGGAGGCGGGGATGGCGGGGGTCTGTTTACTCCTATAAAGGTCAGGGCACCGGAAGTGACTCGGGCCCTGCAGCGCCCGGGAAGCCCGCCCCCCACTCCACCCCCACCCCCGGCTTTACCGCCTCCTCGAGCTGCAGCTAGCGGGGGCACCCCCTCTGCCCGCTTCTGTCTTCGGTGGCCCCTCTCTCCCACGGAGGGGAGGCGGGCGGCGGGGAGCCTTGTGGAAACTCACCATCCTCCAGAGGCTCTGCAAGTTTGTCGGGGAACAGTCTCTGCGAAGTGTGTTCCCGCCCGAGAGCCTGCGGGGAGACCCAGAGGGGGCCATGAGGGGCGCCGGGAAGGCTGGGCGTCGGGCTCGGCACCCGGGGCACGGCGGCGCTGAGGGACCGCGGGAGGGCGGGGCGGGTCAGTGCGGGCCGAGCGGGGGGGACGCCGGGGGCGACGGGGCGGGGGCCGGAGCTCACCTCGGGCCCGACCTCGGCCTCGCCGCGGGTCCCGGGGCCGGGCCCCGGGCCCCCCGCGCCCTCGGACTCATTGACTAGCGACGACTTGAGCTCGGCCAGGTCGCGCTCGGGGCCCGCAGCGCTGTCGCGGCTCTTGTCGTCCTGCTCCTCGCCCTCGTCCTGGAAGGCCAGCAGCTCGTCGGGGGCGCCCAGGTCGTCGCCGCCGCCCGCACCGCCCCCGCCGGAGTCCAGCTGCGGCATGGTGCGCTCCGCCCGCCGGAGCGCGGGGCGCGGGAGTGCGGGGCGCGGAGCCGGCCCGGAAGGCGGCGAGTCCGGAGTTCGGACCTCCGAGCCTGGATCGCGGCGGGCGGAGCGCGGGCTGACTCCGCCTGGGCGGGCTGCGGGCGAGGGGCGCGGGCTCCAGGCTGCACGGCTCCGGAGCTGGCGGGTCCGAACATCAAAGGCGCCGCCGGCGGAGTGCGGGGGGCGGGGCGGGGGCGCCGGGGGCGGGCCCGGAGAGTGGGCGGGGCTGAATCGCCCCGCCCCGGCCCTCCTCCCCAGAGGCCTGCACGCGTCCAGTGGGCATAATCTTAAAGGGCTCGCTCTGCATGGCGTATAACGCTAGCCTGATAAAGCATCACCATTCTGAACTGCAGGGACTCTGAAGGAGACTCCTGACCCCACTTGCTCACCTACAACAAGGGATTCCCTCCTCGCGCCCAGGTTTCTCCCCGAGCTGCGGAGCGCGCGGGTCCTTTTATACCCTGGGGTCGTTTGGAACGGGATCCAAGGTGTGAACTGCGTCTGTGCCCCCAGCCCAGGACGTTCTGGGCTTGGAACTCGCGGCTTCCTAGACCTTAGGGGCTGCTCAAGGCCGTGCTCGAACCCGGGGCCGGCAGCCCCCATTCTCCAGCCCTAAGCCAATCTGGGACCTCCTTCCAGGCCGCCCACAAAGAGCGCCAACACAAGCACATAACCATCACACATGTATTGAGCACCTTTTGCATGCGAGGCTCATACATCTGTGACGGGCCTCTCAGCCGTGTGGTGACTCAAAGGCAAGAACTCAGCCAAGAATACAAGGAAGAAGGACTCCACCCCCACTCACAGCCCATCCTATAGCCGCCACCATTCTACGGCTCTTCTCACTCAGTTTCACTCCTGCGACCCGCGCTCAGGATGCGAAGCTTTGGGCAGCCACGTGGCCGCGGGATGCCGCTAGCGGTAGGTAGTCTGAAGCAACTGAACTCGGAAAGTCGCATTCCCACGGAGCCCATTGACCCAGAGACTGCCCTCGCAAGATACAGGCTGCACGGCCTGTAGCCAGGGGAGCGCGAGGCCGAGCGCCGGCTTCCATCGCATCCACAAGGCCCCTGGGGTCCCGTCCACGCGGGCCTCCGTAACATCTTTGGCCTCTGCTCAGCCATTGCACCTAAGAAAGACACCGTCACTCTCGGAGCGCTGTGCAGTGAGCCGAAGCCCCAGCAGGTTTCTGTGCTGGATTCAGTGTAGACGTTCCCGCCTCTCTTGAGAGCAGCCGGGGCAGAGCGCATTTGGGAGGAAGGGAGGGTGTCTTGGACGCCTCTCCTGCTCAGAGCTCCTCCACAGGACCCCTGGCAGTGCAAAGCCTGGCCGGAAGAGGGCTGCGCCTCCCCTCCGGGTTCAGGCCCAGCCTGGCTGGCTGCAGATCAAAGAGCCAGGCCGTCCTGTGCGTTCAGATACTATCTGCGCTCGCCCAGCGGGGCGCCTCGGCCCCCACCTCAGTACCAGAGTGCCCACTTTTCCTCCCTTCCGGGGGCTGGGAGGGGGGCTGGGCACTAGTGCTCAGTTTGTGGATGGAGACATGGATTAGACCCTGCCCTTTAGATCCCTCAGTGCCTTCCCTGGGTGTGAGATTGTTGCTCAGTCTCACCTCACCCCACTGCGGGTGGGGAGACAGGGCCCAGTCAGTTGTGAGAGGGTACAGGAGGAGGGGCCCACAGCCTCCCCAGCTTAAGCCCCTGAGGTTGTAGGGTCTGGCTTTGGGAAAGCGGAGTGGGAATACGGATTGCCTAAACCAAAGGCTTTGGGGATGATCCTCCTGCATTTGAGTGTGACCTCAGCTTAGCAGGAGCTTCCTGCTTCAGGACAAAGGTCCCCCAGATCCATGAGGTCCCAGTAGGCACAGGCCAGTAGGGGTTGAAGTTTTCTCCAGTCCATGGAGAAAGGAGAGGTCAGGGCAACAGTGAGGTGGTCTGTTTTTCTCAGTAAGGCTAAATTTTTTCAGCTTAAAGTATTAGGCCTTAATCAGAGATCATGAACTTTTTGCTTTATTGGTGTGAAAACAGCCTTTCTTTACTAAAATGATGGTGAGAAATTGATTTTTTGAATGTTGTTATTTGCAAAAGAAAAACTTGGCCACACTATTCACACCCCAGCCCTGGCAATTTCTTGGACATTTTATAGGGCTGTGAAATCCTGGAGTCTGGGAACCACGGCCTTATGGGGTCATGGCTCCAACCTCTTGCCCTGCTGGGTGAAACCAGGGGAGGGGGAAGGTGAGTAGGGAGAAGAGTGGTGTGAAGAGGGCTAAGGGAGGCAGAGACAGGTGGCAGCTCAGGCATCCATAGCTACACTGAAATCAGCCTGCAGACCTGCTGAGAAAGCCTCCTACCTAACCCTGGTCTCAGGCCATGGAGAGGGGCGGAGCAGAAGAAGGAGTCCTGCCCTCCAGGAATAATTGGCTGCTTGAGGAGCTGAGAAATAGTTAGAGCTGAGTTTGTTGCTAGATTAGTCTATGTAGGCCATGGGCAGGAGCTCAGTGAACTCAGTGTGGCTGGAGTGGTCAGCCTCCCAGAAGAGGCAGGTTTCATCTGGGCCTGGAAGGCTCTAGGGCTTGGAGAGATAGAGAAGCAAAGGAGCTCAGGCTTGTCCCTATAGGGCAAGTATGGCCCTGCAGCAGCCCTTCGTCTGGTCAGCACTGACTCCATCATCACCATCTGCACAATGCCTTCATCTTCCTCAGTGATTGCTATGTGCCAGGCATCATGTCAAGAGCTTCACACACATTATCTCATTTAGTCGTCATACCAATTCTGTGACACAGGGACTATTATCCCCATTTATGAATGAGTAAACTAAAGCTCAGAGAGGTTGAGTAAGTCACTCAAGGTCTCACAGCTTGGAAGTGAGGGTATCAGAATTCCAAACCCAGGCAGTCTGAGCTCTGAGCCAGCACCTTAACTATCACACTCTAGTGTTTCATTATGACCTCTAACATTCCAGAGGAGCACATTATTTGCTTTGTGGTCTTTGCAGGCAAATGGTAATGAGAGAGCTGTCACCAATAGAGTCCCAACTCGGTGTGACTCAGGTTGCACAGAAGGGCCACTGAGGGGCTTACGGAATCTCCTTGGTTGGTCTGTATAGGGTGGCTAAAGCCCTTTGCTGGGTGAGGGCTCAGAGGGTCTCCCTTGAGTCTGACAAACCTCAGCCTGTGCCACCTCTCCTTAGACTCACCCCAGACTGCCTGCTCCTAGCACTTACTCAGATCCCATGCAGAGATAACAGGCCCTGGGGTTCTTCCAGTAGGTGGTAAGCGGGATCTATGGTGGCTACCTCCTCCCCCATGGCCTCCCGCCCCCGCCCAGAGAGGTGACCAGGAGGTTCTGGGACCAGGGCCAGCTGCAGGGAGGCCCCAGCGTCTTCTGGACTCATACAGCCCAGGTCAGAGCTAGAGATTTAATGAGGCTTCCTCTTCATGCAAATGAGCCACATGGGCATGTGCTGTTCTCAGATAGTGGCTGCAGGACAAAGTCAGAGCTCAAGAGGATTGAGAGCAGCTGCAAAAGAGTCTTGGTTTTGGATTTAGGCGGACCTACTTGGGTTTTCATTCCTGCCCTACCATTTACTAGCTTGGGGACCTCAGATGACTCATGGACCCTCTCTGAGCCTCAAATTTCTCATGGCTAAAATGGGTATCACCTGAGCCTGCCTTGTACCATGGGAGTGAGGCTGAAGTGAATTGTGTATCCTAGGAAAGAGCTTAGCGTGAGGCCTGGTGCATTCCAAGCGCTCTAATAAATGGGTGCTCTTGAGCTGGATATTTTTCGGAAGTTGTTAGACTAATTGGCTCTTCATGTAACGTCATGTAAATCATCTAAGTGTTCTCATGGCCTGAGCCCACTTAATCACAGCTAATGCTGAAAATATACATTTCCTTTCTTTTTCTTTCAAGTTCCTTTAACATGAAAGACCTGTGTGAACTTGCTGACCTTTTCTAACAGGGAGACCCTTGAAATGTGGCATTTCCAGAAAAGGAGCCCCAGATGGATCTGGTAAATTACCACAGGGAGCGGTTCGGTGTGGCGCCTCCTCCCGCCTGCCAGCCCACCTGGTGTCCTGTTGGGGCCTGCAGAACCCTGCCTGGAGGCGCGCTCCCAGCTCAGGCGGGACAGCTTCCCGGGGAGCCTTCTGTCTCTGGGCGAAGCCTGGTCACACTCTGGTTTGTCACTAGAAACACAGTTTGCTCCCTGGAGACTACATAGTTCACTGCGTGTCTGTGCGCGTGCGTGTGTGGGTGGCCGTGGTGGTCAGGATGGCAAAGACACGGTTGCTGTGAAGCAACTGTTCTGGGTCAGGTACCAGGCAGCTGCCTTTCAAATGAAGCAAGAAGGGTTTGGAGTCATTTCTTCCTTCTTTATAATCTTCCGTGGGTTCTCCCTCTTACCCCAACACCCAGATTTTATACAATAACCAAGAATTGCTCTTAAAATAAAAATTAAATAATAAAGCTAGTTCTTAGCTATTCCTGATGAAACCCCAAGGAAGTTTGGTGAAATTGGCTTGAGAGGTGGTGGTGGTGAGATGACTGAACGAGCTACCCCACAGCTTAGGATGGCTTGTTATGACAGTTTCTCATGGGCTAATTTCCCACATTGCACCAGGCACTGTTACTAATGAGTGAAGCTGGGATTTACTCACTAGGAGGAATAAATAGGTTTCCACAGGAAGGGGTCTGGAATCAGAGGCCTGAAGGTGCCAGCAGTACAGGCAAACCAGGAGTGGCTCGCTGCTGTGTGTCAGGCACCGTGCCACCAGGCACACTGGTCTCCTAAGAGCTGGGTAGTGGGAGGCCTGTGCCCTGGTCCCTGCCCTGGTCCTTGGCCACTGGGTGAACTCAAGGTAGTCCCCTGCCTTCTCTGGGCCCAGTGCCACTTACCCAAGTCCAGGGATGCAGTGAAGAACCCACAATAATGAGACCAGAGGTGAGAGACAAGAGGCATCACGATGCAACAGGAAGCAGGGGACACTGAGGCCCAGTTCCACGTGGGATCGTCTGCAGCTTCTCAGAGCAATATGCCCACCTAACTCCTGTTTGGGTATGGGGACAGCCACAGACACCTTGACATAGGCATGTCTTACTAAGAAAGTACCATTAGGCATCTCTTTGCTATGGAGCAGTAAGGGCTTTGCTGCTTATCCCTAGGGCCTGGCACAGAGCTGGCAAACTGCAGTGCTCAGAAATTTTGGGATGGATGACTAACTGGATGGATGGATGGATGGATGGATGGATGGACTGATGTTGGAGAGATGGATGGGTGCAATGATCACCTAGAATCTGGGGAGTAGGTTGAAGGCCCAGTACCTGCTTTCAATGAACTTGCCTTCTAATGGGGGACATCAGGCCAGACAGAGGTTCCAGGAGCCAGGGGTTCAGAAACATGGCTGTTGTGTGGATGTCATGGCACAAAGCCTGGCAGTCAGGGAAGGCTTCCTAGAGGAAGAAGACAGCCTAGGAGGCAAGTAGGATTTAAGAGGACAGGGCCATCATTAGTTGGAGCAATAGCTCCAACTCTGGCTTATGGTGGACTTTACCCCCATAGGGTCCCTGGGGTCAGGATCCTGGGGGAGAGTTTGGCCATCTCTCAAGCCTTGCTCAGAATAGCACATCTTCATGTCTCAGTTCCTACAGCCCTCACCCCCTACTACCTGTGACAATTGCTCCTGAGTACCCCCTCCCTGACGCTGGCTCTCTCTGTTTGCCCCCTTCTAGAACAGACTCCTGGGTACATAGTCAACCTTCTTGCACTGGGCTTCAAGGCTTTCCTAGCTCAGTGCCTGTGGAGGTGCCCCCTTATTTCTAGGTAGTTGGATGGTGGGAGAAGGAGGAACAGGATCTGGGGGTAGGAACTTGCAGAGACTAAGCCAGACCCATAGGCATCGCCAGTTCCAAGGCACAAAGCCAGGAAAGTCTCTGAGAAGTCCTGCAATAGAGAACTCCTGCCTCACCTCCTTTAGGCAAGAGTCTCACATAAAACTATTTTTCCATGTATGATTTTCCAAAGAACATGGTTCCTCTGAAAATCTTCTGGGGAATGGGTAGCCCTGGTTTCAGGAGGTGCAGCACTTCTCATTCAAGTCATGCTCTAAGTTGTGCCCCTAATAG